CCGCCCTGGACGGGCTCAAGTGGAAAGAGTACTGCGCCACCTCCATTGAAACCCTAAGCTCATCGAAACACGCCCACTGCTCTCCTCTTACAAGCCCCTGCCCCGACGTCGCCAAGCACAAGAAGCATCAGCAATCGGCACCCTTACCCCTGAATTCGGTAGCCTACGGCGTCGTTTCCGCTCTGGACGGTGCTTCCTTGTCCTCTGGGGCTTCTGAGACCACTCATCCGGCGAAGGAGTTGGTGCAGGAGAGAAAGAGGAAGAGGTCGCCGAGTTGCGGCGGTGGAGCCAATTCTACTGCTTTGGCCTGCGTTTCGTACGAAGCGTGCTGACGTCACAGGTAATGAATGGTCACGACTCACGCTTTGTGTGCGCATTTTTTTTTAAAATTTTTTTTCAGTTTTTAGTTTTTTTGGTTTTCGTTTTTCGTTGCGTGTCTGAAATTTGGGTTTCTGTTTTTGTTTCGCAACACCGAAAGCATTTTCGTCTTGGCGGGACTTTGACACGCGGTTGGTGCTCGCAGTGGTAGATCTGTGATATTCGTAGAAGGCAAGGGGTGTTTCTGTACATTCACTTCAGGCAGTGGTAGATTTGTGTTTCGAAAGTAGTATCGACGAATTGATAACGATCTAAATGTATTGGTTTGATGACTGGAATACAATGAAATTGGGATTTTTATCTTCTTTTTTTTATCTCCTTAATTTTTACCATGGCTAAAGAAATAGATACCAATAGCAAAACACATTATATGCGAGAGATTCACAAGAAATCAATCCCAAAACATAAGAATTCAAAATTATCTGAAACCCATCCGAAGTGACTTGGAGTTGGATTTGGTGGCTTGAACGGTACTATCTACCTCCCGAATTGATTTTCTTTTCTTAGAATTTGATGAGGAGAAGGAAAGAGTTGGGCTGGGTTGATGAGCCAAGCTTGATTGAACAGAATTGTTGTCGCTGTAGATGTAGAGATTGGTTATATCAGCAAGAGGCTTCCTCCTTAATCTCATCTTCTTATAGCATTTCTTGGAGGAAGACCCGTTTCCGGGAACCGGGTTGGTGAGCTTTGCCCTTGCAGTTGCAGAGAAAGGAGGGATCACGTTCTCCTTGTTGCTGTGGCCATGGCAACCAACGACCTCCTCCATGAATGATAAAAACTTCGAGGAGGCACAAACAAGAAACTTGGTGTTACTGGTTGAGTTGGGGAGGGAGGTGGGGAGCAGCAGGGAAGGAGTGAGGTATTTATAATGTCTGTGCGATTGGGTTCTAAATTCTAATTCTATTTTGGAGGGATATTTGAATCTCGGGTTGTTTTTTCTTCTTCTTCTTCTTTGTATTCTTAAGGTTAAATTTTGGGGTTTTGAATTTTGTTTTCAAGAAAGGAGGGAGTTGGGAATTGACTTTTGTTTTGCACTGAAATTTTGAGGTGGCAACTGTGGCAAATGACAAAGTCTACAAAAGTAGATACTTTAGGCGGGGAGTGGAAGGAGCCAAATCCCAAAACCAAATGTCGCCATTTCCATTTGGCTTCTCTTATGTTATGTTATTTTATTTTAATAATTGATTTGGGCCATCATCAAACGTGATCATGCTCATGTCACCAATAAAGGCAAGGGACAAGTCAGCATGCCCGGCTTTAAGAAGCATTCACAATCATGGTTTAGGGTTTGGGGAGCTTTGGAAAATTGTGACTTTGATAAACCCTTTTCTAACAAAACACGTTAATGGAGTAGTTTGATGATGTAATTGAAAATGTGTTCAATTTTCTTTTTCTACACATCCTTCCTCATCTGAAAAACCACTCTTTTTCTTTCTTCTTCTATATAAATTTCTTATTTCTTTTAACGGAAACTCAAATTTTGGACTGTCATGCATGAGTGGGTTTCAGGATAGTTTTAATATCTTTTGTTATTTTCTTTTTAATTGTTTTTAGCGTACTTAAAGTGACATAAGCATGAAAAATTGGACCGGCTTGTCACGTAATCATTTACCAAACAAACTAACAAACTCATTAACGCTTATTAATTTAAAATGCGGCCCAAAATTTGGGGGTTTTGTGTAGTTAACTCAAAAAGTTATAATTTTTTTCTAACTGAGAAAAATTCTGCACTAATATCCAGATAAATAAAAGATGATTCTTGTATTGAAAATTACAATGAACCACAATCTAAGAGTGTCAGAAGAGACAAAATCTGTATATTTCTCTGTTCTTTTTTTTTCATTGGTATGAATTTGTATCTACGATGAGATTGACGAGGAACCAACCTCAAAACATTACAATTAGAAATTACAGAAACAACAAAGGAAGAAAACACGTAAGAAAAATTATCTGAAACCCATCCTCAGAGACTTGGAGTTGGAGCTGTTGACTTTACTAGAATTTGTATTATCCTCCTGGGTTGATTTTCTTTTCCGAGAATTTGATGCAGAGCCAGAGACAGAGGAAGAAGAAGAAGAGAAGGGAAGAGTTGCGCTTGGTAGATGATCCGAAAGGCCGAAACTTGATTGATTGCCGTAAATGTAGAGATTAGTTATATCAGCAAGAGGCTTCCTCCTTAATCTCGTCTTCTTATTACATTTCTTGGAAGAAGACCCATTTTCAGGAACTGGGTTCGTCAGATTTGACATGGCAGAGGAAGGAGGGAGGTTCTCTTTGTTGCTGTGGTCGGGGCAAGCAATGGCCTCCATTGATAAGAACTTCAAGACGCATAAAATTTCTGAGAGTTGGGGAGAGATGGAGGAGATGGGCTTGGGGCAAGAGCGGAGAAGGAGTGAGGTATTTGTAATGTTTGGGCGATGATGGGTTCTAATTCTATTTTGGAGGGAGTTTTGAAATTTTTATTTTTATTTTTGTTATTTATTATTTATATTTTTCACGTTTGTTTTTCTTCACGTGAAAATATTCGGTGAAATTTGATTTGATTTGATTTTTTTTTTTTTTTTGTTGGTGAAAATTGAGTTTGTTTAAAAATTTCACGGCAGCTTTGCCCTTTAATTGGGGGATTTTCAAAATTTTGAGATGACATCTGGCAAGTGCCAAAGTGTGAGAATGAGAGAGGGTTGAAACAAACTTGGCGGGTCTTCAGTCGGAGGAGGGTGCGAGCCAAAAATGAGAAAAGCACACGAAAAGGAGAAAGTTTGGGCGGGGAGTGGAAGGAGCCAAATCCCAAAACGGGATGTCAACGAATTCTACTTTTAATTATGTTTTTCTAGTTGGCGCCATATCAGTAAATAAGATATGATGATGCTCTCATGTGAAAAAAGACACGTTCTGTAGGAAAAAAAGCCACATCAGCATTTTAACAGAATTTTTAACGAAATTTGATAGCAAGAATCAACTTAATGTATGGAGAGTGACGTTAAGGATTATCATATCACAAGAAAATCATAAATAACCAGATGTGATGATTTTGTGAATTTCAAGTACGATATGTGAAATAAACCATTATTTATCAAAGAATGTAATCTAAAAAAACTTAAATTCCGAGATTATTAATTTTACCTCTTTTTATGTAGTTGTGTGTTTTTGTTATGTAAGATGACATTATTAATTTACACTTTAAAATTAACATAAATTTGATGAAATTGACAGAAAATATGGTTGAAAAATCAAAATGAAACTTGAGTAAAATTTGAGGGACCTTTACCCTAATTAAACTCTTAAAGTAAAAGGGTTTATTAAATATTTTTCTATAACTAGACTAGAGGTGGGCTTTTCAATTGCAACTATGTTTAAGAATTTAGTTAAAGTATCATATAACATCAAAGTCGTCAACTAAATAACATAATTACCACCCAGTTGCATATGACAAACTCTTTCATCTAAGCACTGTTGGTCTGGATAATGAAGTTCATATATGATTTTCCTATTATATTCAATTTGGTTTTGGCATTTTATCACAAAACGTCCCAACCCCATCCGTCTCATCCAATCCTCATACCTCCTCGCAAAACCCAACCCAACTATCTTCTTCCCACCTTCGAATCTTCGCCACCAAAAATCAGCACTTCATTATAGGGCTCGAAGGAAGCTCTGTTTCACTGTCTATGTCGTCATGGAGGACCAAAAGCAGAGTACCCATCTCGAGAATTGCACAGAAAAAGCCCAAGAGGCTGCTAATTCTCATATCCCAATTGTAATTCCGTCCGTACATGTGGCTGAGAAGTTGTCTAGGAAGAAATCGGAGAGGTTCACTTATCTTGTTGCTGCGGTGATGTCCAGCTTTGGTATTACTTCCATGGCTGTCATGGCTGTTTATTACAGATTTTACTGGCAAATGGATGTACCTAATTTCTCTATGCTCCCTAAACAGCAAAAGTTACGAACTTTATCTTCTCTGGTTGAGTTTTTGAATTGAGTGATTTTGTTTTCTGTGTAGGGTGGGAATGTGCCTTTGTTTGAAATATTAGGTACATTTGCTCTATCTGTTGGTGCTGCTGTAAGTTCTGTTGATGCTTTTTTTGGGAGGTCAACTTAGATAGATGTGGAATGGTGGATGATAGGTGAAGGTGAGGACCTTCAGCATGTGTGTGAATATTTGGGCAAGCGATAAATAGAAAGAAGACAAGATATACGTGGTTCACCCTTAATGAATGGGCTACGTCCATGGAGAAGTATGTTATCATTATAATAATGTATGATTATATTTGTACATGGGGTTGGACCCAAATATAAAGATAGGAAGAGGGAAGCCTAGGACTAAAGATAAAGCCCAGCCCAGGATCCAGAAGAGAGTGTCCAAGGCCCAAAGGTCTAGATCCAAGACCCGGATCCTCTTCTAAGTGAAGAGAAGTCTTCTTTTATAGGTGATGGGGAGTCTCCATCTCTTGTAGTTTTCCAATGTGGGACTCCTCTTGCTCGGTTAGTCACGGTACAAACAAGTTCACTGGCTGTTTCTCAATTGGGGAAACTTAATTAAATTAAATTGATTTTGAAGTTTTTTTCTTTACACTGAAAACTACTAAATCGATTTGGATTTTATATATGTATATTTTAGGTGGGAATGGAGATTGGGGCAAGATGGGCTCATAAAGTTCTCTGGCACGCTTCTTTATGGCATATGCACGATGTTTGCTTCGAATTTTGCTACTTTTTGTTATCTCTTTGATGCCAACAAAATTTTGAGTTTGGAATTTTGTTTCTTTTCATTCACTGGGAAACCAGCAATGAAAGAAACATGACAAGCTTGAGTTTTTATATTGTTTTTCCATTCAGTTTCTTAGTAACCAATCAGTGTTTAATATTTGATATGAACTTTAATTGCAGTCTCACCACCGACCCAGAGAAGGTCCATTCGAGCAGAGAGAAAGAAGAAGAAGAAAAGAAAGAGCGAGAAGAAGAAGAAAGAAAGAGAGAAGGGAAGGAAATAAAATAAATTTTTTTATAAATAATTTTAGATTGATTTGACGATTATATCCCTGGATTTAACTTTTTTTTTTTTAACAGATGGACTATTTAAGAGCACTTATATTAACGTTATGGACCATGAGTGATGCAAAAAAACTTTAAGGATACAATCTGATAGTTTCGTAAACGTCATGGACATTTTGTGATAAAAAGCCTTATTTTTTTTGAATCTTCTTGCTCATTCCCATTTCTTAATAATAACGATGAGCACGTATATTGTTTATATGGAAAATTCTCTTATGCCAAAAGTTTTTACAAGTTCTCATAATTGGTACTCAGCCATCATTCTTCAATTGAGTTCATAACATTCATCTCATTAATTCATTATTAGGGTGGGGCACCGTTTAGTTTGGTCCAGTTTATCTTTCGAATTAGAATCGAAATCAAAACAAACAAAGTTTCGTTTGATTTGGTTTTCATACAAAGTGTCTAGAGGAACATAAACAAACTAGATCTATATGATTCTGGTTCAATTTGGTAAATTTTCGGTATGGAAGAAGAGAAAAAGAGGAAAAGGTGAATAAGAGAGAAATGGAAAGAAGAGAGAGAGAGAGAGAGAGAGAGAGAGATAAATAAGTGGAAAAGAGAGAAAGATGGAGGCGCAACAAGAAGAATGACTATGGTTCACCATTAGTTGGGTATAAATTGGGACTAAGACATTTGGGTATTACTTGGGTTATCTAGATATTACTTGAGGTTACTAATGTTAAAAAAAATATTAATTAGGCTTACTAAAAAAATTGGATATGAATTAATAAATAAACTTAACATAACCAGTCCGTTTTAGTTTGGATCAATTTTCTCAAGGCAAGAATCAAAACAGGAACCGATTGACTTTGTTGATCATCACAGTTTATTTTCAATTTTTTTGAATCCAATTCGGCTTGCTTCACCGGTTCACTGATTCACTGGTTTAAATGCTCACCCTTACTGATTTTCAACCACCACCATCTCATTTATACACTTGTGAAAATTCTATCTATGGCTTGAGTGCAATTTTGTCACCATATCAACCAGATGCCTTAAAGAAACACCATTACTTCTGCAACTACCTATAAACCTAAGTTCTTTTCCCTTGAGTGCAATATTGGAATCATTGACTCTAGCTTTCAAGTGGAAGGGATCATTCGTTTAAGGACAAGAGTTCAATTCCTCACTGTAACTTCAAACTTATTGGGGCCAAATACTTCAACAAACAAAGGTCTAATAGCTTTATAAAAAAAAAATCATGAAAATAGATATGAATCCTGCCAAGGACTTAGGTTATGGGATCTTTATTTCCAGAGTTTCTGCATGGGTAAAAAGAGGTACTGATCCAATCAGTTCCATTTCCAAATCAAAAGTTCGAGGGGCTATAATAATCATATCAAATTATTACTCTTTGAAAGATATATCTTTTAGTTGTATCATAATCCAGTCAAAGGATGGATTGGAGGTTCTTAACCCCGTTTGGTGAGCTGGCTTGGACTGGTTAGGATAGACTTTGAAGCATTGGATTGGGTTGGCTTGGACTGGCTAGGTTTTGAGTCGTGTCCTTTTCATTCTTGCATCAAACAACAGACTGGAATTAGCTTTATTTTTTTTAATAAATCAAAATTTTATTTTAATTTTTTTTATTAACAATAATTCCAACTTTTTTCCACATATCGAAGAGAACCCCTCAAATTTTGCGGAAAGTCTATAACCAGAGGCAAAATCCTAATCGAATAGTCTATACCCAAAAGCAAAATCCTAATCAAACGAAGAAGATAACTCATATCTAATAGAATCTTGACCTGTTTGGGTAATTTTCAATGTGTTGTTCAAGTCCAAGGTTAGAAGTGGGGATGAAGGGGATGAAATAGGTCTGTCTCTGTTAAAAATCAATGCTTTATTTGCGAGTGTTTTGTTGCGACGGATTGCTGAAGATGGAACCCTATATTTTGTTCAATGAAAGCCAAAGTGAACTTCTCTGATGCAGAGACTAAAGGGGATGGAGGAAGAGAGAGGAGAGAGGAGAGAGGAGGAGAGCAAGGAGAGAGGAGAAGAGAGAAGAGGAGAAGAGCGAGGAGAGAGGGGAAGAGAGAGAAGAAAAGAATTTGAGAAGAGGGGTGCTCGGTCTCGCAGAGAGAAGAGGCTCAGTCTCACAGAGAAGAGAAAACGCAGAGAAGAGAGAAGAGGCGTGCTTGGAAAAGCGTCGGATTCTAAACCCACATCTGGGCTTGGGTTCTAGAGCCATAGTTTTTTGGGATATGGATCTCATGCCCATATTCAGTCCGAGAAACACTTAAACTCACCAAACAATAGGCTCATTTGAGAGTGATTCTGGATATGCCAAAAAGCACTTTTATAGAGAATTACTTCTCCAAATAATCACCTTAAGCGGTTTTAAGTGATTTTATGGAGAAGTGCATGAGAGATGATTCTGCTCAGAATCACTTAAAATCACTTAAAATGATTATATGGAGAATCACATGAGAGGTGGTTCTCTCTATAAGTGATTATGGCTTATTTAGAATCACTCCTAAACGAGCCCAATGACTTGGACCCATGTACATTTTAATTGAAAATATCTAATCCAGTTCAGCCCACCAATCCAACCTAGTGACGAACCCTATGCAAGAACGGCATTTCTCCTTTTGAAGTTGTGGTGGAAAGACGTGTTTGGAAAGACTTTGTGAGAAAAAAAGAGCAAACCACTAAAGCCCATTCTCCCCAGGGCCACAAGCTACACAACCATCCCCATCACCACCATCACTGTTCACATACCACCACCAGCGACACCACCCGGCAATAGCTCTGGCATGGCGCCTTGACAAGCATAAAAAATAAAAAATAAACAAAACATGCGCAACAGTGCATCCACTCAACAGACGAGATAATATACTTTGCAAGCTTGATATTTTCATTTGAGCAACTTAGTACAAACCAATTGACAAAAATTCATTTCCCAATAACCAAAGGAAAAAGAAAAACCCTAAACCCTTCAGAAAATATCAATCACAATCTGTCATCGGCCTCAGAAATCAAATGTTGTTTTTTCAAAACAAAGTACTTACGGTATAATTGAGATACTAATCAACATTGGCAACAACCGACACATTTTGAAACCCATGATTCAAAAAATGAACAAAAAATAGCAATTGAGATCTACCTTGGCATTATGATCGTACAAAGTTTAAGCTAGCCCTTTGAGGAGGATGAAAGTGATTATCAACAAGGACTGATGGGCTTGAAAATCTCCATGTTTAGTAGTACATATGTTATAAGACTAAAGGCATACATTATGTTCAACACACAATTGAAAAATGAAATTCTGAGAAATAATCTCTCGTCATTATTCACCACTTGCATACAAACGGGTCCACTCCTTTGCTGCATAATTCAAGAGAAAAAAGAATTACTACACGTAACAAAAGTATTCTGCAAATACAGGTTAAAGGTATGGAATTTATGTTCAACAAATCGAGTAAAATGACAAAAGCATGAAATAGAGAAAAATTTCTAAGCTCTGTACAAAGTGACAGATTTGATAAGCCTCTGCTGCCATTAGCCATGACACTTTTAAAATTACACGTGGCTAATATCCCAATATAAACCATACTTGAGAAGAGGAACATAATTGATAATACCTGTCTCAACAGCTTCTGCTTCATTTGTCTTCCAGTGCTTTGCAATGTTCTCGGAAAGTGGATCATCCGGGTTTGGAGCACTCAGAAGTGCTTGGATGCTGATCCAGTGAAACATGATAAAATTGTGTTACTAGTCACTTAATATATCATGACACAGGAGCATGAGAATACAGAGATAGCATATTTTAATTTATTGTGAGAATTAACTTCTTTGAGATCCCATTTCAGAACAGAGCTGAAATGTTGTATTCTGGTAATGAAAAATGTCACCTCAGCAATACTGTTCGGATTTGGAGGGCTGGACTCCATTTGTCCTTCAGGATATCAAGGCATATCCTCCCAAGCTGCCAAAAGAAAACCCTTCCTACTAAGAAACATCAGAGTTGAAACAATGGAAAGGAGTGAAAGGAGTGAAAGGTGAAAGCTACTTGCCTTATCAATGTTAGGATGATATATTTTGGTGAGGAAACGAACCTGTCAAGGGGAATAAGAAAAATAGAGGACAAGACATTGTTCAGCATTTGACATTACCAAAACACCTATGGTGAGCTGACATAGTGCTAAGAGAGCAATATTTTTATGGAACCAAAACCAGCTTCCTCTTTACAAAATTCCAATTACAATAAAAAAGTCTGTAGGCCAAAAGCATGAAACTCAGCAACTGAAGATTAGAAGAGATGTAAACTATCAGTTTCAGTAAAGTCATTGGATAAACTAGAACTTGGACACTCAAGTCTACTTTCTTAGTCCCAAATTTAATAACATTTTGCATGAATCCATCCACAAAGCATATGGGGCTACGTGCACAGGTCAACTTGGCAACTGGAAAATTTCACCTTAAGAACATAATAGAGAACATATATACTTGCTGACAATAAAGTAACTGTTTTTGGTACAAAACAGCCTACAAATTGATGGAAGTGATCTGCCGAAACCAAATTTGATCACGACAAGTATGTTCTTCAATACCATTGGCATCTAACCTATACCATAAAAACCCCTCCATTTTATTTTTATATTTGTTACAAGAACCTGATTTCATAAATATAAATAACATTTCAAAACAGGGGAGAAGTTTTCCATTGGACACACTTGACTACTCAAGTACAACTGCAAAACAGAGTAAAAACATCCTAACGTTACATAAATGAATCTAAAATACAGCAGCACTCCAATCATAAAATAAAGCTCTCATGAAGATCCGACACCAAGAAGAAAAGGCCACACCTGTTTTGCCAATAAATTAATATGTTCATGGAACATGCATTGGCGCACACACCTATTATAAATTTTAGATGATGAACTATGAAGCACCTTTTATTAGAATCTAGGGGTAGCATAAGAAAATATCATGAAGATAAAAATGTTTCAAAATATTATTCAAATTAAAAATATATACATAAATCAATAATACCACATACATAAGAAGTTTAAAAACAAG